TCCAATCTGAATGTCCCTTGGCACTGTGTGCTGGTTGCATTCCCCCCCCGTACCCCTCCCCCCCCCCCCTTTTTTTTTTTTTTTTTTTTTAAGTCCTAAAGCTGTGTGCTGTGTTAAGATGCTGGAGTTGAAGAAGGGAACAGCTAGGAGTTGCTCAGTTATTTCCAGTCTTTGCTTGAATGGTGCACACTCTCAAACACTGCAGTCTAGCCTGAGGAACATGGTTTATTAACACACAATGCATAAGAAAGCTTCGAATCCTTTAGCTTCCTGCTCAATTCTAGCAGACCAACAAGCTTATGAAAACTGAATTTGTTGCTTCTTTGTAATTGACTTATGTTCCTCCTAAGAAGGCAGTGGAAAGGATCATGGGAGTTTAATAAGGGATTCATGGATTGCTGCACATTGAGGTGTGCTTAAACGGTCTTGATTGTGGATGGATATTTGTGTTCTGAATTAGAAGACAGTGTAGCAGTTTAATCAGGAGAGTCTTGTAAAGGATAGTTACACCACTATCATTTTTATATAGCGGTATGTATTACAACACTTTATAAACAAAATATTGTTGTATTGAAGATTGTCTTCTGTGCCAGTGTGAGACAGTCCCTATGCCTCAACCTTTGCAGCTCAACAACAGAGCAATCCAACTGCACATGGCATTCTGATTCCTAAAAGCTCTGGATGGGTTGCATGCTCCTTGTATGGGTAGAGAGCACCACAGGGGAGAGAAAACTATTGGGACTGCTCTTTTCTTAAATTGGGGCACATCCTGAAGATCAGATCATAGTGTGTGGCAGTCACATGACTGAAACTAGGAGCTTTCTATCAGGTTATTAGTTCTAATAAGGACTACTAGGACTAACATTTGAGTTCATTAAGACCTGTGTCAATTATCCTAGGTTGGAAATTAGTATGTTTCTAAGGCTGTGGTGGTAGACAGAAAAATTAGCCGTGTTAGACAGTAAGTCAGGGTAGAATAGTATGCTGAAGGCTTTCACTGGGTTGTGGGGGTGGCAGGGATGGCACATTCCTTTTCCCATCCTTTTTTTTTTTCTGGGACTTTGCTCAAAAAGAGATGCCTGATTACTGCAGTAACAGTTTCCAGAAGAAACAGATTCTCAAACTGATTCACAAAGCTGCTTAAGTGGTTTGTATTAGAAATGTTTAAAAGTGACACCAATGGTATATTTGATAAAATTATTTTAACAAGATGTTGAGTAAGAAGCAGTCTGTACACAAGTAATACAGAGGGCGTGCAAGTCAGGGAAGTGGACAATTGACTAAATGTCTTTTAGTTCTGTGGTTTATCCTGGGACAGCTGCAGTCTTGACTGAAACAGATGCAAATATTCATGCAAAACATGGTAGTCTGGAAACATTAAAGCAGATGTACTTGTTTTGCCTTCAAAGTAAAGGCCTGTTGCATTTTTGAAAGCAGCACTTGACTTCTGTAGGTCCAATCTTTCTGGTACAGTTTCAGTTCAGTTTAGAGGTAACATTGGAAAAATTGGAGCCTGAGAAGTTATAGCAAACACCTTTAAAAATTTGATTGTGTTCTTCTGTTTGAAAAATTTCTATCACTATGGAGCTATAAAAGTTGTTTGTTTGTATTCAGTACTTGTTGTGCTATATAAAGTGACAATCATTTGCAGGGAGGACCTGGGGGTAATGATGAGAATACATCTGATAAAATTTATCCAAGATGAGAGTGCTGTGTTATAAATGGGATTGAGTTGGAACATCACAGGGCACATTGTGCAGTGGAGCCTCAACAATAGTGATAAAACCTTGAACACCACAATTGTTCCAGTCAATGTTCTTGTTTAGCCTAGCTTGACTAAGTATGGCCACATTTTAACATAGTGCTCATGTACCGTTCCCAGGAGTAAATGTGCAATTGTCAGAGACTAGTATGAAAGTGACAGATCCCTGACCTAGTGTGCTGTTAGCTGCCTCGTGTTGGTTTCTGTGTAGCTGTGGCAGAAGATAGCTCAGTATGGACTTGCTTGCTTTTTGGACACACACCATTAGCAGCAGACGAGTTACAAAGCCACAGAGTGTAGCCTGTCTCTTCCCTTCCAGTGTGTTATGAACCTGATCAGCAGCTGTGTGTGGACTTTCATTCAGTACCTTCCTGGTCAGCTAGCTCAGCACTGTTTGATGAAAGTATTTTTTGCCAGGTGATAAAAGTTAGGCTAATCCTAGCATTACATTTTGAACTGGTGCTGTAGTAAAGGACGAGCTTTGGCCAGTAGCCTGTGGGACCCTTGCTAGATGTATTTGTAGAGCAACTGAAAACAAGACCAAGATAAAGATTTAAGCCAGTACTGGGTCAGAAGTGAAAGGAAGGATGTGGTGAGACAGTGTGGACCAGTTGAACATGAGCCAAGGTAGGTCTAGGAAAAATTTAGCCATACTTAACCTAGAATTTCTCCCAAGATAGCAAAGAGCCTTCAAGAGCCTAAACTGGCAAGTTCACAGACCTATTGCTTCTGTCCAGCCACTGTTTTTCATCTTGAAAGCTACAGATGGGCCTGCAGATCGCAAGTTTTAAAAAGCAATCACAGGTCAGGAATGATGAACAAAGTGTGTTTGCCTTGAAAAGAGAAAAACATAATGGTATCCAGGGTGCAAATACCTTGTCCTTCCTAAAATAGACACTGGGAAATGATTCCTTTTGGGAGACCAGTGAGCCAGGTTTAAGTGTATCTTTTGTCAGTCTGTCTTTTCCCAGATTAGTGTGTTAACCCAACAAGCCTTCTTTCTGTTTCCTGTCTGCTGGGCCTTTTCCGTTGAGTATAAGTAAGGCAAAAACATTTTTTAGGGCTATAACTCATGGTTAGTGCACTCACTGAGGATGTGGTAAACGCAGGATCAAGTATCTTTTGCTGTGAGCTGTCAATGCAATGGCAGAATAACCCACTTCAACTGCCTATCCTAATGAAGAACAGAGTTTCTGAAGCCTTGCATTTCTATGCAATAGAATTATCTATATTCACTGCAGAGCAAGCATAAGACTGGATTTTCAGCTATTTTTCATTTTATCTCCAGTTTACTTGTTCTTTTCTTCTTGCCCTTGTTAGCTTGCATTGATTAGTGGTAAAGAAGGATAAAAAACACTGTTCCAGAAAACAAAAACAAAGGAAGAAGTAAAACAAAAGGTGAGACTATTTTTCATTTCATTACTGTGCTTCATAGCCCCTGTTCTGACATTTAGAACAATATAATATGCATGTCTCTGTTCACTAACTTCCTCAGTACTACATAGTGACAGCCACCAAGAAAAAAAAAAGAAAAGAAAAAAAAAAAAAAGAGAAAAAGAAACAAACTTAAACCTGAAGTAACCTTTGCAGGCTAAATAAAAAAGAAATGAGAACAGCAAGGGAGAAATATGTATTCTAAAAAAAAATAAATATAACCAAAATCAGGGCCTTGCATAGGTTATTTAAATATCATTATGAAGGGAAAAAAGATAATATTGAGCTCTAAGGCAGAAAGAACTAATTTTCAGCCCAATTACTTGTTTGTTTTACATATGTGTTTGAGCAGATCTGTTGCTAGTGTTTGAACTGCAGTTAAGTGACACAAGGAGACTGCTGAGACTAGATATGCTTAAAGATATTCAGGAACTGATACAAGTCCATGAAAATGTGAAAGATTCTTGTGGGAAAGCTTTTATGTATTTTGGAAATAGGATATCTGCACCAAGTAGAGATATCTAAACTATTACCCAACAAACTGGTGCATATATATGCTGCAGTATGGTGTCAAATGGAAGTACTAGCTTGGAAATGTTAAATGTTAAGATTTTGTCCTAAATTTGTGAAGAAGCAGGATATGGCAATATTGTTTAGGGTTCTAGGTGTAGCCAGTCTGTAACTCACATGCATATTTTGATGTGTCCTGGGATTCATCTGCAGAAGGATTTAGTGCTGTATCAGAAATGTATGACAGAATGCAAGATAAGTTTGTTTTTGTCCCATCAATTCCGAGAGATATTCAGCACTCTAAGGATGTGTGGGTTTTACTGAAATTTCTGGGGGAAGAAAAGAGAACAAAAGAGACATTACAGCTCTCAGGAAGTGAAACATTTTAATTTCTCATATAGCACTTCTAATTTTTTGTAATTTCATATTCTTTTTGGGCTGTCATCTTCCCCCCCCCCCCCGAAAATTCTCAATGGAGTTTTCTTGCATGAAAGTTTTTAGATTTGTGAATTTGCCTCAGTTGGAAAAAAGTAAAATCAGAGTAATTTGTGAAAAATAATCATTGGTCTATTTAACACCAGTAATTACAAGCTGCTAATCACAGTACTCCACAAAAATTAGCTTGATTATAATTTTGGGGTTTTACAGGTGGGGAAAGTGTTTTCAGGTGGGAAGGTAACTTTGTTGATTCTTTTATGATCTTCCTCAAGATTGCATCAACTAGTAGCAAAGAATTTGGGGGGGGGAACCCACTATTTTTCCTATTTACTCTTCTCAGTTTCTTTGCCTGTTATCTTCAGGTCTGCTTCTAAAACTACCAGATGTCAAAATATTCATTAGGGGAAATATTCATTAGTCATTTACATCTCTGGTTCTTCTGGCAAGCAGAGAAAGAGAAGGCCAAGACAAGACAAGAAAGCCTGGAAAAAGATGTAAGCAAGTGTCCAGCTGCTTTGCAGATACAAAGGAGGCTGGAAGCTGAGTACATGCATAACTCCCATGTCATATGGGCATAGCACTGAACCTCACTGAGTTCACTACTACCTTTCATCAGGAGAGCAGTTATTCAGGCTTTATGTGCACACCTCTTCCACTCCCCTTTTCTTCCCCCTTAATTTTTATTTATTTGTTAAGAAGGGGATTCACAGACCCGTTCAGAGGATGCTGTGAGGGATAGCAGCACCACACTTCTGTATCTGGAGGAGACGGCTGCCCTGCTGTCACTGATAAGCATTCCTGGGAGGGTGGGGATTGAAATTTAGCAGTTATTAAGCCCTAATTGGCACAAGTATTCATGAATCATATGTGCCCACAGGAGCTCTGCCATCTGATGCCTCAGCAGGCGGCTGATGCTCTGCACGTTGGCTGCCTCTTCAAAGAGGAGCTCAGAGTGAGACCCCTCCTGGGTGGCATTGGGGGGGTGTTTTGGGGGGATGGAGGGAATAGCCATGTCAGGGTGCTCTGGGGAGCAGAGGAGGGGTCATGGTGGTTGCGTGAACTGTCCCATTTTTAGGGGGTCGTGTATTGTTCTCTGGGCCAAAGCAGGAGTCACTGTGGGGCTATTTCAGGGGCACACGCCACTCAGTGAGCTGAAGTCAGCGTGGATTGGTCCCCAGCTGGCATAGTCTGGGTGTTGCTGGGGGACACAGTGAGGTCTGGGGTTGGTGGTCAGGACACTTGGAGACACCTGGGTTGCTGCTAAGGGGCTATGGGGCACGGCTAGCAGGGGAAAATATGAGGGGGAAGCCACTGAGGAAATCGGGATCCGGAGACGGACTGGGGTGTCGCACAGAAGTTCAGGGCTGAGCTGGGCCTGGGCCTGAGGGGAAGCTTGGAGCAGGGTCGGGGCACCTCCGGGCTGCCCTCTGCCCCACCATGGCCATGTGCACCTCCGGGTGAGGGGCAGCACAGGCTGGTAGCTCCCCCAGGGGCTGGCAGGGCTGGCCCTTGCGCCCTGGGCATCAGGCACCTCCCTGGGGTTATGTTGCAGCCCAGTTCTCCACAGGATGCTTTTCCACAGACTTTTTATCTCTGTGAAGCCACCTGGGGAGTGTCACTGAGATACAAACACTGGGGTGTCTTCCCCCTCACCTTGTCTTCTGTCTGATGGGGTTTGTATTTTAATGGTCTGAGTTTGTAGCCAGTTATTTATGGGTAGATAAGGGTTTTCTTCTGGAGGATGTTTGGTGGTAGTTGGGCCTGGTAACCCACTGTTATTTCAGGTTCCTCTCCTGTCTCCCTCATCAGCTGCACATGACTTGCATTCATGCAGACAGGTCATTCTTTGGGCAGCCTCTCTCTATGCTGTAGGGGATTTAGCAGAGTTGTGCTGTAGAAAAAGGCATTTGTCAGGTGTCTGTGCTCTGTCCCCTATACCTTTCTCTACTGCAGTAACTCCGTGGTCACTTATGCCCTCAGCTCCCACATTGCTGTGCTTTTTCTGGCCTGCCACATGTTGAGTGTATTGGAAAGAGGCCAGTTCTGGTGTGGCTGTTTCAAGGTTGTGGGTGTGTAAGAGGTAGGACAGCTTTTACCTTCAGAAATGGCAGTGGCGAGGTCTGTTCCCCTCCTCCAGTGCAGGTAGCCAAGTGGCTATTCCTCCACCACGCAGTTACCAGGTGGCACAGAACTTAGAGGGGACTGCGTTTCCTTCACTCCTTTGCTTCTCTGCCAAATTCATTGAAGTTGGCAATGTTATCAAGGAATCAGGGGAATGTGTATTTGTGAGCCTCATTTCTTAGGAACCTAGGCTGAAAATAATAATGTAGAGGTGTATAGATCAGGGTTTTAGTCAGATAGGAAGTGTTGTGCCTCTTTAATTTACTACCGCTTTAATGGGATAGAGAGGAGGATAAGATATACAACAGCCTGGCAGGGAGAAATGCAAAATAAATTAGTAGTAAAAGTAATGGTCTAGTAGTTTATATCACACATATAGATCTTTTTAAAGGAGCCCATAATCTTCAAAGTCAGTAATTTTGGGGGGTTTTGTGTGGTGACTTTTTTGTTTGTTTGTTTGTTTTTAAGATACTATCAAAAGAGTAGGCTGAAATGTTTTGCTGGAAATTCTTTTGGATAAAATTGCTTTCCTCCCCCTGGTAAGATAATTTTATTCTAGAAGTGTCTGTTTTGACAGGAGGGAAAAACTGTTTATCAAAAGAGCTAATAAAACTCCTAAACCTGGAAACACATCCATTCTGGCTAAATCTAAAGCTTTTCACTGAAGTAATAGAACAGTTGGTTGTTAGAGACATCTGGAGGTTCCTAGTTCAACCTTTTACTCAAAGCAGGGTTATCAGCTATAGATCATGTCAGCCATTACTTTGTCTAGCCAGGTCTTTGAAAACTTGAAGGATGAAGGCTTTGCAGATGTTCTGCATAGCCTGTTCTGGTGTTGAGCTATTTTCCGTATGGAGATTTCTTTCCTGATGTCTAGTCTGAGTCTCTCAGGGCAAAACTAGTGACCATTTGCTTGTTTTATATCATGTGCTACAACCAAAACCAGTTTGACTGATGCCAGGCCAGTGGGTTATCTATGCACTATAGCTGTGAAAAAGACGAGCAGTTTCAGTGGTAGTGAAACAGAGCGGAAAGTAATCACTATTTGTACTGCATACAGTAGATGTCATCTTGTACCCTGAAACATTATGTCTAGCATGTCAGCTCCTTCCCACTGCAATCTGCCTCCTGGGGTTAAGGGAATAACCTGTTGGTGATACTATGCAGAGGAGCTGAGGAGAATAGGTCTGATTGGCCTGACATACATCTCTGCAAATACTTCCCATGTCAGTTTAGGCAAATGCTTTTAACAATTCATTCAATTATCTTAAGCACCCATTAAAGGAATCCTAAAACCTCCCTGGGGTCATTTCAGTTCTATGCGATTGTAGTTGCTTGAGACTAACCATGATTTCTTCTTTTGCCTTCAGGTGATTCTAATTCTGACAAAGCTGTATGACTACAACCTGGGAAGCATCACAGAGAGCTCTCTTTGGAGGTATGGAGATAAATGGAGTTAATAATTACTACCCTACTTAAATAGGAAGAGCCTGATACAGTTATTTTATTGAATTTAATTGGATTTTTTTTAATGTGCTGGAAGGTTTGTAGCTAAACCCTCTCTCTCTCTCCTTTCATACTCAAGGACAAAGAGGCTGAAGTCCGATTGTCTTGCTTCAGCTAGATAATATGCTTTATGGAAGTACTATCATTTGATCTCCCCTTTACCCTCTTATTCAGAATCAAATCAGAAAATTGGTTTGTTTTTTTAGGAGAACTCAGCAGCCTGAAATCCTTTTTTATAATGAAGGACCTCATGGCATTCTACTGCCTGAGTGATGCTTATGAAAAGTCCGTGCTGCTGAGATGGGGGAATACCTGTGAGCAAGTATTCAATAACTGTTTATTCAGAACTGGTAGTATCAGTACTAGATAATTGATTTCCACTTGTGTGATGTTGACTACTAGACTGATTTGTAGGAATGCCTTGACACTTTCAGGATTTCAAAGCATCTCATGCACTCTGTGAACCATAGCTGGACCATAGCCTTTTTCTTAAGGCTATTCTTTGGATTCAATGAGAGCAGATGGTGCCTGGTTTTGCTTCTGAAAAATGGATCTAAAGGGTGTTTACTTCATGTGTCCCTAGTGGTACTTTTGTGACCTGCAAAGGATGAAAGAGGAGGGGTTTTTTGTGGTTCAGTCTCTGAAACTTTGGTGGGAAGTCTAGGGGTTTTGTATGCAGGTCATTGATGGAGGTGGGCAGGCTACTGTTTTTTTTCAAGAAAACTTTATGTATTTGAAACTAAAACTTTTTGTTAGACTGAACTTGTTTTCATAAACTTGTTGATGAAAGCTTTTTGTTTCCAAGGAAGAATTTTGGGTCAGAAGTAGAAAAAAACAACCTTTCTGTTCAAGGAACTGAGCAGGATTTTAAGAGAATGATGGAGAGATTTGACTTGGAGTAAACAAATAAATAAATGTTAAAAAAAATAACAAAAAACCTGGGAAATGCTGAAGAAATGAACCTGCTTATCTTTACAGTGCTCCATTATTCTTGGTCAGCTCTTCAGTGCTCATGTCTGCTCTGAAAGTTGTAAGTGCACTTCATTGTCATTCCTCAGTCCTGTTGTCTTACATAAACCTTGGTTGGTTATGTTATGCTCTGTCCTGAGTCTGTCTCTGCTGTTAGATCCCCAGTCATCATGCAGACATTCCTTCAGGTCACTAATAAATATCCCTGTGAAGATCCCAGGACAGCTTCTCTTTTCCTAGTGTGATGGAAAAAAATGACAAGATGGGCATATCTTATTATTTAATGCACCTGACAGAGAAGTTACTAGCTTTTGTTCCTTCTGGATGATTAAGTGACATGTTAATTTAAATCTCCCTGCTTGTTTAAAAAGGGCAGGAAAAAAAAAATAAATAAATGAGAGAATGGGAGACAGACTTTAATCCATTACATGCCACTAAGTTGATACTAGGGAATGGAAGAAAGCATGATCTCAAGTCTGGTTTAATTTCTGATGTCAAGAGTTCCGTTTCTGAAGAACAGAGACGGAAGATAGGTAGTTCTGCAGGTAACCACAACCAAAGAGGAATTTCTGCCTTGAATGTATGACAAAGAAATACCACTCTTGCCTCCTGCACTGAGTGCATTCTCAAAAGGTTGATGAATGATGAGGGGCTGTTTAGAAGCATGTAACAGACACAAGTCACTTATGCTGTAGCTGGTTATAAGTACATCTGTTGTTTGAAGGTGCAGTTGGATGATTTAAGCAGTTTGTGACTTATGGGACTGTAACCATCTATAACACAACTATGCCATCACCTACAAGATACGAATCTGTCTTCTTTATAAACATACTACTACTGGCTAGGGTGGCATTGCTGTGTAGTTTTTCAGCCAGTTTTTAACTACAGCTGGCTGCAGCACTAATAGATGGAGATTTCCCTTCTAAAACTACTGATTAATTAAGAGACCACTGGTGACAGACATGAAGGGATGAAGTGAAAAGAGATAGGGATCTTACAGAGTGCTAAGGCTCTATGGTCACTGAGCTTTGGATGGCATGTGAGCTGCTGTTTCTGTACACCGTAAATGAGATATTATATCAGGCTGGGCCTGACTTTGATTATGCTGTTAGGCTCTCAGAAGACTTTTTCCACAGTTTTAGTTGAAGGTTTTTTATTTACTTTTCATTATTCTTTTTATAGAAGAGGAGGAAAATAGAGGAGAAAAGATTATCTGTCACTGAGCAATTAACTGACTGTATTGGATTTATTTATCTTCTTCTCCTAGATATCTCTCAGATCCCAAAGAGGATTAAGCTGTGAGAGTTAGGAGAAGATGTTTTTTACTACTGGAGTAAAATAAGCTTATGTTTCAAATAAATAGTAATGTCAGAATAGTGAGTGTGGTATCCATGAACTGCAGAGGAGGACTGATAATTTTTTTTTTCCTGTTTGTGTAAATGTGATGCTCAGAGAAGATGTGCATGCAAGACACTGTGTCAGGGCCATGAGAAGCTGACGAGTGCCATTCACCTCTTTGCCTGCTTGTAGCTCTCTGTTCAGCCAGAAATGAGTGATTTCATGAAATTTGCTGAAAAATAGCAGTAACTGAACTTTGATTTTTCAGCCAAAAAGTAGAAGTTGTAGAGTTTGCTTCATTTGATAGCATTTGTGTTCTGAACAGAGACCTGTTGCTCTGATAGTTCTGGAGTTTATTTGCAATACTGCTATGCTCCAACATTGTTCCTGAACTCTGAGCTTTCCAATTCAGGAGTGCTTAGCACTTCCAACCTGTCCTCCACTGCTCCTGGTTTCTGTGGTATGTGTTCTTATTATCTTCTGCTCTACTGCAGAGGAGGACTCATAATTTTTTTTTTTCCTGTTTGTGTAAATGTGATGCTCAGAGAAGATGTGCATGCAAGACACTGTGTCAGGGCCATGAGAAGCTGACGAGTGCCATTCACCTCTTTGCCTGCTTGTAGCTCTCTGTTCAGCCAGAAATGAGTGATTTCATGAAATTTGCTGAAAAATAGCAGTAACTGAACTTTGATTTTTCAGCCAAAAAGTAGAAGTTGTAGAGTTTGCTTCATTTGATAGCATTTGTGTTCTGAACAGAGACCTGTTGCTCTGATAGTTCTGGAGTTTATTTGCAATACTGCTATGCTCCAACATTGTTCCTGAACTCTGAGCTTTCCAATTCAGGAGTGCTTAGCACTTCCAACCTGTCCTCCACTGCTCCTGGTTTCTGTGGTATGTGTTCTTATTATCTTCTGCTCTCAGCCACTGCTGGAGATTAGATATTGGGCTAAAGACCAAGGTACTTGGTACTAAGATCTAAGTACCATTGTGTTTTGGCCATTTGTTGGGTAGTCCCATGATCATCATTATGCATGGGAGTGTTTTGATGAAAACACTTGTTGTTGGAGATGGGTTTGCATTAGTGTGTTAGATAAAGAAAAGGAGCAATGGAGCAGTTGCTCTAGGAATAGAAGCCCCAGGGAGAGAGTAGTTGTAGATTGAAGTTTATGTACAAATACCATCTTGCAGTATTAGCTGGATGATCTCTGTCTGCTTTGAATCCTGTTTTTTGAAGTATCTTGGCTGTGAGTTGACCCCAGCTATGTGGTTATAAATTCTAGATGTTTCTGCATGCAACTTTCTGGCTCCTTCTGTGTAAGAGTCGTCTCTCTACAGATCAGAGGTATAGCCACCCATGTACTCTTCTGTACTGTTGATGTGTTTGCGAAGATTGTCTTCTCTAGCCTGGAGACTTCTTGCAACAAGAGACTTGAAATATTGTCAGTAATTGCTTGCTTCTTTTGGGGGGAATTTCCAGGATATTTCTGTTGCTGTATTCATCATTCTCCTGCCCATTTAATGCTGGTTCTTTACTTCTGTTTTGCAGGTGGGCTGTTCTCAACTCACATTTATTTTCTCCCTGCTGAGCCACATTAATAAAGCCATAACTTGTGGGTTAGTTGCACACTGTGCTCTGCAACAGCCGATTAGGGTCTTTCAGCTGAAGTAGATAGGAGAAAAAAATCCAAATGAGGGGAACTGACAAAGTGAGAGAAAGGAAAGTCTCATTAAGTACATTTTAACCAGAAGTTTTGTGGGAAAGGGGAACCTGAAAAGGCCTATTTGAAATGCTTTTATCTATAAATATGGTGGTTCAGTTGCTCACCGTGAGCAAATCACTTTTCTGACCTGAATATCAGAGCTTAATAAATGCTACAACATTATCTCCCATGGGCATTTAGTGAAAATGTAACAATGAAATTTCTTTGTCTTTTATTTTTTTTCATTTTTGGTTTTGCAAACATATGAAGCACTGGCTGCTCTGTGTGTAGATGCTGGAGGGCATCTGGGAAGGAGGGAAGAAGGAGTTTGCACACTCAGCTGTTTGTGAAGGAAGCAGTGTCTTTTTACGGTTTGATGGCAGCAGGAGATCTGCTTGCACTGGAAGTAGGTTTAGAACATGGTTTTTGTGCATGGACTGAGGCTGGAGCTGGAGCCTTTTTCCTGTAGCATGGGATTCAGCCATCAGGACCCCAAGGGACTTACCAGTTTCTATAGCTTTCAATATTTTTATGTGAGAGGGCTCATTTTACTCTTCTGACTAAGAGTAATACACTTCTAGTGCATTTAACTCTTCTGTTTGGCTGCCAAAGTGTCCTGGGATGTATTGCCTATCAGAAAGAGCTCCAATAAAGCTGGAGAGAGGGAGGAAAACCAGCCAACTGATCAAACAAAAAACCCACCCCAAAACCAAATAAAGACCTACTTAGGAAACAACCCACAGCAAATGCTTAAATACATCCTGGTTTAGCAGGAAACTTAAAACCTACTGAATTTTACCTCAAATAAGGGCCAGTATAAGCTCTGCATTTTGTAAAAAAATGTGTGTTAAATCTATGTCAAATAATTTTTGCCTTGACATAGTTTGAAGAATAGTACCCTGATATTTTGAAGGATCAGATTTGG